ATGGGGGTGGGGATAGTCATGTGTTGTAACTTCCTGTGCTATTCCCCCAACCGTGCTGTTATTTCTCTTTCAGCACTTTCATGTCAACTATTTGACTTTTTGCTTCATTAAACTTTCATTAGGAGATAGTCAAAATTAATAATTGCTAAAGTGGCTTGATAGCTCATCTGTGTGACTACATATCTACAACTCATATTTCAAAATAATTTTCTCAGCTCAGCAGTTTCAGCAACATTCAAAACAGTATTCCACCCCCCTGAGAATGAGGGGAGGGAGCCGCAGGGCAGGGGCCAAGAGTCCATGGAGCACCCCCTCATATGATTCTTCCATGATACCCGTGCTCTTATACAAGTAACTGGCCACGGTCACATAGACTATAAGAGGCAGAGAGGACTAAAACTACTTTTGTGTGCTTGACCCCCGGGTTATATACTGCCTCCCTAAGAGTTTCTACTGGCTTAGTTGTCCTCCTTTTTCTCGGACATGAGCTGCTCTTTTTTTGTTGTTGTTGTTATTGTTTAGCTATAAGGTTCCCTTCTATACAATATATATTTTTTGAGAAGCTACTATGGGCAATGTTCTGAGAGGCATAAAATGATATGTAAAAATCACCCTCGTTCTGTGGACATTCCTGGTCTTGGAATGAGCAGTGAGAAAGAGAAAGAGGGAATGTATAGAAAGGTGTTGCCTCAACTGGACATTCTTGCCCTCTGGGCAAACATGGTAGTCTTTCATATCACACAAAATTCTGACAGTGGATTTGGTTGTTTTGACCCATTTTTACATGAGAAATTTCCCTGGGAACAAACTTATATTTGGATATATCTCTGAAGCTATGTAAATGCTGGTATATTTTAGCCCGTCCTCCTTTTTACTCAGTTGCCTTCTTTTAGTCGTTAATTCAGGAACACTTCTTAATCAGGAGCATTTCTTTGAAAAGTTCCTCATTAAGTTTTGTGGCAAACAAAGGTTTATTCAACTCAATACCTGACCTCAAGAATTGTATACTCCTAGAGACCCATTCAGACCATGTTGACAATGACCAGGCTGGTATTTTTCACCATAAACATTACCCCTCAGAAGTGTTATGGCTTTGGCTTGGTGGAGTCCCGAAGCGGTGTCCCTTCAGGGCCCTGGGCAGGGCAGAGATTGGAGAAGGTGGGAGACTGTTCAGTAGGAGAAAATGATCAAACATGTCTCGGTGCCCTCATTGTGAGAAAGAGATTGTGTAAAACCTGTGTCTCAACACTTTTTATTTAGAAATTTTAGCAACAATAAGATTACAGACATTGAAGAGGGAGCTTTCGAAGGAGCATCTGGTGTAAATGAAATACTTCTCACTAGTAATCGTTTGGAAAATGTGCAGCATAAGATGTTCAAGGGATTGGAAAGCCTCAAAACATTGTAAGTATTCTCATCGCATTGTGATTCTTCTACAGGATTATACTTCATGGTCATTACAATCCTGGGAGGGGATGGAGATTCCATTCTTCCTCATCACTCCAGTCATAGCTC